TGCCAAGCAGTTTTCATAGGTTTTTGAATTTTGGAGTAGCAGATAAGGAATTGTGACATGTATTCTTCTAGCCCTGGTGCTCTCTACCACTCTATGAAGCAATTAATCATTTAATAAGCAATGACTACTTGCAGACCTACTCCAAGGCTTCTCTGGATGGAAACCTATTGGTGGTCATCAGAGATAATAATTAACCCCAAGTATTTTCTCCATTGCCTTAATTATGCACAAAATGCAACTCTCTTCTTTCTTTTCACTATCGAGAACTACACTACACTTTACACAAAAAATCACTCAATTTTTCACCTGTTTCTTTCTTTCTCTTTCAACTTCTCTATAGCACAGACAATTCAAGAAGGGAAAATGTGTCAAAGGGGAGGATATAGGTTGTAAATGTGTCAAAGGGGAGGTTCATAGGTTGTAAAATGATTCAAAGAGATTCATTCAGGAGGATGAAGACTGAGAATCTGTGACCTTGACAACCAGAAATTCACTAGTGACCTTTGAGGGAGCAGTTTCCTCAAGGTTATAGGAATGGAAGCCAGAATGAAAAAGTTAGGGAGCAAGTGGATGATGATGAAGCCATGACAGATGGATCCCAGGTTCGATTCTGGTCAGGGGCACATGCCAAGTTGTGGGCTCGATCCCTAGTGTGGGGTATGCAGGAGACAGCTGACCTCTCTCATCATTGATGTTTCTATCTCTCTCTCCCTCTCCCTTCCTCTCTGAAATCAATAAAAAAAATTTAAAAAGAGAAATGTTTTACTATTTTTGGTTCTATTTTATATTAGTTAATCCTGATGAAAAATGTGGAAGAGAAAACTATACTCCCCCAAAGTTTTGCATTAACAATACTTCTGTGAAACAAGTCCAGCTATTAACATACCCACTAATTTTTTCTGTAGTGACTTGGTTTTCAGACACGTCCATCTTTCCAGTTTCATTGTAGCTTTTGTTAAGGACTTGAATGACAGCGATATTTCCAATTGCTTTACAACATTTTATTTCCAGTACATATCACCTCGCAATGTGTTCCCTTGTGGCACATAGCAGGATCATTACATTAAAAATGGAAGGTGTAGTTGATGATTGCTACTCTCTAATTACCCAGAGTGTTTGTCAAAGGCAGTAGGCAGGACACATAAGCTCCATTTTGCTGTTATATTGACTGTCAGGTTTACAGCACATCTCTGCTAACATAGAAGACTTACCCAATAAGTCTATTTAGTGGAACAGACCTTTGCAACTGGAATAAATCCCCCTTGGCACGAGAATAAACACAGTAAAGAAAATGATTTAGTGATCAAACTGGTTTATCTATGCCTTAAAAATAATCTTATCTAGAACCAGTGTTTCTCAACCATTTTTCCCATTATTGAGACATTTTAGACATATTTTCCTGATAGCTTACCATGAAATGTTAATGCCATAGATATACTTTCTATCTGTTTATGTACTGTTTCCCTTTGGAGGAATATAAACCATTGTAATATCTAAACTTTTTCTCCCTACCAAGAACAATTTCCATCTTCATGACAACACCTGTTTTGGATTTTGCTTGCTAGTACACACTGACTGAATTAGGAAGATGTTTCATCAGTTCTACATACAAAGATACCCTATCCTGGTGTATTCAACTCAAGAGGATGCAAGATAGAAAATGGTTCTTTAGTAAATCATACGTTGCCAATGAGATCAAAACTCATTCCTCACATAAAAATAAAGAAACTCTAGTAATAATAAAGAGTATATGGCTCCCAAGTAAAAATGGTGTCCAAGTCAAAAACCTTGCACTCACAAATTCTGGCTTTGCTCTCAGGAGGGCAACTATAATTTCACATGCTTGCCTATAAGCACGCATTTATTGAGCACTGACTATGCAGACTTTTAGCTCTATGAGGGCAGGGACTGTGTTCAGTTTTGCTCACCATTGCAGAATAAATGAAAGAAGGAGAAAGAAAGGGAATGAAAGAGGAAGATAAGGCAGTATGTTTAATTGAATTGTAAACTGCCTTTAAGAATATTATATTTAGGATGAATATAGATATGCAAACAAATAAATGAAATATTACAATTGAAAATTTATATAGATATGCTGAGGTTACAACCAGTAATTAATTTTATCAAGTTAGAGGTGGGAGCAAACTAAAGTGGATTATGAAAATGTATAGAGAGACAGGGTATATTAGGGTTTTGGGGGTCCTAGGGCACTCTTGGTTTGAGGTCCCCTTCTTCCATAAAACACATTTAAATACAAAGTACAGATGAGCATAACTATCTGAGCATTCTAAAAGCACAAAGCCAGGATGTCAGGCAGAGACCTCTAGGAAGGCAAGATGTTTAAGTGAGAGAAACCCTAAAGATAAGCTGGAAGAGTAGCTGAGAGATACAGAAGCATGTTCTAGGTAGAGGGTACACATTGTTCAAAGACCTACACGTGAGGGAACTATTATGATTGATGAAAGGCAAAGATAGAAAAGGAAGGAAGGTGAGAGATGAAGTTAGAGAGGAAAGCAAAGGTAAAAACTAGTTAGCCCAGCATTAATAAGTCTGGCTTTATCCTAAAGAAAATAAGATGCCATTTAGTGAGCAGACAACAGAGTATACAGATGTTAAATGATAAGATGTACAACTGAAAATTATATGTCATTATCAACCAATGTCACCTCCAATAAATATAATTTTTAAAATAAGTAAAAATCAAAGCTTCTATGTTAGGAACCAACAGGATTAGGTTTGCATTTTGTTTTGTTTTGTGTTTTGTTTTGTTTTTTTGTTGTTGTTTTGGGGTTTTTTTTTGGGGGGGGTTGTTTTTTTTTTTGTGTGTGTGTGTGTGTGTGTGTGTGTGTGTGTATGTGTGTGTTTGGTGTTTTTTAAAAAATATATATATTTTTTATTGATTTTTTTACAGAGAGGAAGAGAGAGGGATAGACAGTCAAAAACATCGATGAGAGAGAAAAGTCGATCAGCTGCCTCCTGCACACTTCCCACTGGGTATGTGCCCGCAAACAAGGTACATGCCCTTGACCGAAATTGAACCTGGTCCCTTTCAGTCCGCAGGCTGACTCTCTATCCACTGAGCCAAACCGGTTTCAGCAGGTTTGTATTTTGTATTTTCATTCAAGCTATATTGTAGCCAATGGACTGGAAAGGGTGTGGTGGACATTCTGGGGGTCCATGAGGCCTCTTCAGGGCCCATGTACATATATCCTCAGCTTCTAAAAATATTGGCTTTTAAAAGTCTCACAACTGCGTCCTTCAATGGGAATTGTCCCCAGCCACAGGGAGCTATCTTTCCCAAGGGCATATCCTCTCCCAGACAGCACCCATGGCCATAAGTGGCCAATGAGATATGAAGGCCCATCCATCTTACCTCACTCAATCAGGGACAATCTCAGCTCCTAACCTCCCTGACGGATCGGCTGAGGCGTCTGTTGTAACCATGTTGCTGGTCATTTCCTCCTCTGCCTAATCCTACTTGGTTAGTTTCCTATTGCTGCATAACACATCACCTCAAACTTAGTGCCTTAAAAAACATATTGATCATCTCACAATGCCCACGGGTCAGCGTAACTGGATCCTCTGCTCAGGCTGCAAAGTATTGGCCAGACTATTCTTATCTAGAGACTTGACTCCAGTTGTTAACAGAATCAATCTCCTTGTGTTTGTAGGACTGAGGACCCCAGCTTCATGTTGGATATTGATTGATTAGAGCTTCCTTTAGTGCCAGCGGGCCAGCAGCAATTCCTAGAGGCTGCTATTTCTTTCATATGGGCTTTCCAATGGCCACTTACTTAAGCCATCAAGGAGAGTTTCTAGAACAAGTCTGCTTCGACATATTATAAAGTAATTGCAGGAGTGATGGCTCCTCACCTTCGCTGTGTTCTATTCATTAGAAACAAGTCACAGGTCCCATCCTCACTCAAGGGGTGCAGGTTGCTTGGAGGTGTAAACATCAGAAGATGGTAGGTATCTTAAAGTCTGTCTGCCACTCTCGTGCCATCCTCACTTCTTACAGGTGTATTTTCTGAGAGCAGACCTCAATAAACCTTCATGCAAGTATCCATCTTAGAGAGGATACCCAGGAAGCAGTACTGGAGGCAGGGAAGAGAGCTAGAGACTGTTGCTGTAACATCATCTATGGGTGATAGCAGGAGACTGAGCAGCAAATTTTCTGTCCATTAATAAGTGTATAATAAATATTAGCATTTAGAATGACACATGGCCTATCTGAAAGGAAAACCAATTCTAAAAAGTACAAGATGTCTTCAAGGAAGGATACACACAACAAAAGTAATTCATTTCTAGGTCTGTAGAACAGATTATATATAATAACAATTAGATTTACTGTTTCACAGTGTAAAAATAAACCTCAGACCAGTCACATAATCAAAAAAAATAATTAGCACTTTATTTAGTATAGATTGTACTTCTAAAAATTGCAGGAAAATGTCAACAAATAGAGCTGCACTAGTAGAGATTGACAGAAAACATAGAAGCAATGATAGTATGACAGGATCAAATTCTACCTTGTTTATCAATACTTCCATTTTTATCCATCCCATGTACAATAATTATTTTTATTCATGCTTAGTCATATACCGAATGATATAAATAATATAATTATTTCCACACCATATTATGGGGGTTCTCTATTGGAAAATATTTTTCCTTAGGTCTCCAGAGTTTAAAATATATATAGCCCTTATTTTTGAAAATGCTTAAATACTGATGGACTTCTATATCAATAATTACAAATGCCAAATGACTACACTTACACATTGTGTTGTCAGGGAAATACTTTAGAATATTGGGAGTGGTCAACAGCTTGATTCCAATGGTCTTCACAGGTATTATTGATTGCCTTTCACTTTCATGCATAAATTTTCTTACAAAAGAATGGCGAAACAAAATATGTAATCTGTCCTTAATAATTTGTGGTGCTCAGCAGCTGTACAGAAACATGTGTTGAGTTTCTTGGGAAGCAGAATAGTTGCCCTTCAAAGAGGGGTGAGCCGCTCATCCTCTGGCATGAAAGTGTCATTAATGTGCCATCCCTTCGTATCGAAGGGGTCACAGGGGATGCCATTTTCAATTGTGATTGTGTTTTCACTCTTATCTTCAGTGTCATCTACTTCAGATGGTCCTTTGTTCTTCCTAAATGCACATAAAAAGAATTATTGGGATCTAGGAGGAGAAAGCAGGTTTTTCACCCAAATAGGGAAAGCAGGAAAGGAGAAACTTAGAAAGATGAAAAATTTATGCTATGTATTTATATATATATAAAACCCTAACACACAAATAGACCAAATGGTGAACAACCAAACAACTGGTCACTATGATGTGCGCTGAACACCAGGAGGCATGCGCGGAACATGGTGGGTGTTGGCCACGGTAGGATGGTGGATCAGGTGAGCAGGGGCACCAGACCAAGGTGGGGTACTGGTCGCTGTCATCAGGGCAAACCTCTGGTGGTTACTGAAAATTCTTTGCTCCTGCACACCATGGTCCTACCTGGTGCTTGCACCTGCTGCCGGTGCCGGCCCCACTCACACCCACTGCCAGCACCAGAGCCACCACTTGCACCTGCTGCTGGTGCCCAGCACTGGTCCCAATCGCTCAGCACCAGCAGCTGCCAGCCTTGATTGTCCCTAAGGGCTTCTGCACCTCCCCCTGCGCCTGAGGGGTGATTGGGGCAGCAGCCGCCACTCACACCTGCTGATGGCAACAGCCCCACTAGTACCCACTGCCAGCACTGGCCCCAATCATCAGCCACCATCAGCAGGTGTGAGCAGGGCTGGCTCCATCAGCATGTGGGAGCAATGGCGGGGGAGGGGGAGAAGACTGCTGGCAGACAGGAGACCAGGGGCCGCAGTGGGAAGGGCCAGGCAGGGGCATGGAGGATGGGCCAATGGTGCCCACTGCGGCCTCGCAGCCCACAGTTCCTTTCAAGGTGCACAAATTTGTGCACTGGGCCCCTAGTTTTCAAATAAGTTTCAAAGATCATAAAGAGCTGATGTGGTGAAAAGATGCTATCAAGATAAGTCTTCATGGATGACATACACATATTAATCAAACGAATGATCTTACTTGGAATACATATATATATGTGTGTGTGTGTGTGTGTGTGTGTATGTGTATATATACATACTTACACACACATACACACATATGAATACATAAGTATATTTATATAAATGATTATGTTTGCGTACACACATATATGCATTACATTAACACACAAATTGAATGTAGGAATCTGTATGGTAAATTGGTAAGTTAAAAATTTTGGCTCTAAGAGAACTTCACAAAAATTGAATTTAAAAAGTGATAAATTCCTCTCACAGGATTTGACAAATTAATGGTCTGCAAATGTTGAGTGAAAATCAAACTGAAAGGGCTTATGAAGAAGCAAGCTCACATTACTTTAGAGAAAGGAAGTAAACATTATAAATTGTAGGTATCACTACTTGGCTCTACTCATTACAAAATAATTGTATTTATTTGTAAGCCACGTATTTGGAACTCAAAACACATTTTACTGATTACATTACAACTCATAGCTATAATTCCAGGTCATTTCAAAAATACTACATGACGGGATAAATTTTTGAGTTTTCATTCTCAGACCCTTTGCAGACACTGCTACCCCAACGCAATTGGTAACCAGGCCCTTAATATTTCCTTGGAGTGTGGAAAGCTATAGCCTATAATTCAAAGGTTCTTCCTGTCTTGAGTAAAAGACCAAAGCAGTTGAGCCAGTTATGCTTGATATAGAGGTAAGGGGCCAAAAAGAGAGGTGGGTACCTCTAGGCAATCACAGGGAGGATGAGTTCCCTTGAGGCTTATCACAAGTGTTGGGGCACAGTGGAAACATGATGCTAAGCACAAAGTTTCCAGACTTACCAAAGATTCTATCGTCCCAGGAATCTAAGGAAACTTCAAAGAGGCAGACCTGAGTGATCACATGTCTGGGATGATAGGCACTGCGGTGGTGACCAGGACAGACCCCCACCACTATGGAAGAGCCTTAGAACCTTAGTGACTCTGGAAGGTGAGGAGGAGGTCAAGACGCCCCAGTAATGACTGAGGTAGAGTTGCCTATTAGTCCTATATGAAAGTCCACTTCAATGTGCTTTAAATAATATGGAGTAGGAAGAGAGAAAAGAGAGAGCTTGTGTTTACGGAAGAATGGTAGCTGATATAGAAGGAGTAACAGAAAATCACCAATATAGTAGTTTATTCTAATGATACTAAACCACTGAGTGAGAAATGGTTAGGGAACAGGATATTTACATGGTCTCAATACATCACCCCACAAGCAATGTACTAATTATAAAGAGACATTTGTATTTTGTCAAGGGAGGAATTTGGTGACCATCACCAACAAATGAGACAAATTCACAAGTGCCCCCAAATGTGACACGCTAAAATTATATATTATATATGTAATTCTGTGTTCCTGCCCCACCTCATCATCAATTTTTTTACCTTAATATCTCAGGAGAAAATAATCAGAGTAATCAAAATCCAAATAAATTTAAAGATATTTTGTAAAATAGCTAATCTGAACTCAGCACAGAGTGGGCTTAAAATTGGATGAACAGATACATAGGTGGCTGGCTAGCTAGCTATACAGAGGGCAAGTGGATGGATCAATGAATGTATATCAATGACTGATTGCCTGGATAAAAAGTTAATGGATGGATGGATGGATGGATGGATGGATGGATGGATGGATGGGTGAGTGGATGGATGGACAGATAGACGAACTAAGTTATTCAGATAGTACCCGAAGGTATATCTTGAATGGGATCCACTGAAAAAAAAGAGGAGTGGGGGGTGTTACATACATGTTATTTCTTGTATCTCTTGTTATTTTTTCAAATGGATGGAAGAAAATATTCATTATCCTACCTTAGGAATTAGGAGTTAGTAGAGATTTTGCCAGGCTTTGTTCATGGTTTATTAGATAATTTCAAATAGCTACAGTTCAAAATGAAAGTAGCATCCAATACTGTAGACCCCACTGTCAGCACTTGAAAGTATTGTGCCATTTTATGTGCCTCTGTCAAATGCGTCACCGTAAGACCCAATGCTGGGTTGAAAGTTAGGGGTTAGAGTCCCAGAAGCCTAGGAAAGGATAGGCTGCTGTGTTTCTCCATCCTCAGAGTGAGGCACCACAATGGCTATCCCAGGCCCCAGCAATCAGTGACCAATACAGGTTGGGGTTTGCATAGAGTTTCATGTGATGAGAAGGTCCTCCTGCCACATGATGTCACCGACCAGAGGATTAGAATACACTGGGGCCCCTCCTCTTCTGGACAGGAGTATTATTACTTTCCATGTCCTCCAGAAAGCAAAAAACAAAAAACAAACTGACATTCTATAATGATCAATCTCATCGTTTCACTCATAGTACCCAACCTTCATTCAATAACTATGTTTTAAGTGCCTACTATATGCTGGAAGAGACACAGGCCATGTCCTAAAGGGAAAAGAATAGATTCAATAAAACGGAAAAACTCCAAATTTCACTTGTGCTCCCTCCCTCCATTTTTTATGGAGTATAAAAGAGGAGTGATATTTCAGTAGGGATGAAGCCCTGGAAACAAACGTATATTTGTAAATGATCATTAAAATTGCCTAACTCAATCAACCCCCCCCCCCCAAGTCACTCCTGATTGGGGTTGGAGTGAATATTAATATCCATAACAATAAGGAGATTTTAAGCAGTCCAATCTTACCCTAAAATTTCTGTGTTAAGTATGAAAGCCATCTTACAAAAATCTTAGTGGATGGAGCAGTCTGGAGTAGGTGGCAATGCAACACAGTGTTGGAAATAACAGCTGCCAGTACTCATTTACCAGTTTCTTCACTTTCAAGATGTTTTTATGGAATTAGAAGAAAAATTGCAAAGCTGAATCCAGGCAGATCACTGCAAGGAATCTTGGCCCCCCCCCACCCGACCACAAAGGAAAAATAATCCACTCGTTATCATAAAGGAATGGGGAAGAACTAAAAGGGAAGATACAAACAGATGAGAACAAGCTTATATTCTTTAGAAGAAGGATTTCTCAACCAAAAAAGATTCTGAGTGAAACTGCTGTGGAAATTTTTGCAATCTGCGCTGTCAGTGGCAAAGTAGGTACATATTGTTCTTTTGTGACCTTCGAGTCAGCTGTACAGAGTCTTGACATTGCTGAGCTTCACAAATTGCAGCGTCAGTAACACTCTGGCTGGTGGGGATGATAAGCAGTGCAAAGGTGATCGTACAGCAGTAATACAGCACTTTGTCACGTTTCATAGTGTGTGCTGTAATAAACTGATTCACTGCCTGTGCATTGCTTCTACGAAGAATAATAAAACTTAACTATCTTTCTGAATCATTCTGATTTGTTGTTCCGAAAAAAAATATATATCCTGAAAAATAAAATGAAGTGTTAAATGACTTCTTCTGTTCCTGCAATGTCAGGTAGTTCAGGAAGAGAATAATAAAAAAGTGGCTAGCCCAGCTGGCATGGCTCAGTGGTTGAGTGTCGACCTATGAACCAGGAGGTCACGGTTCCATTGCTGGTCAGGGCACGTTCCCGGTTATGGGCTTGATCCACAGTGTGGGGTGTGCAGGAGGCAGCTGATCAATGATTCTCACACATTATTGCTGTTTCTATCTCTTTCTCCCCATCCCTTCCTCTCTGAAATCAATAATATATAGATATATAGATATTTTTAAGTAACTAAAATACCTAAAACTAGCCCCTAGGAGCCTTGAGAGTGAATCATCTCCCACAGATCTGGAGAGAAGAGGGGACAAAAGAAGTATTGCGTGTCCCTCAGAACGAAGGGGTGTTCATGAATAGGTATTGCTCACAATCAAGTAGTGGTGGAGTACTTCCGTCTTCCTTCAAAAAGATAGGGCTGAAGAGACAAGGCCCAAGAATAGCCATTAAAACAACAAAAGATAGACAAATGTGATTTTTAAACAGATAGTAAATTATTGGAGAATTGGGGCTGTCCTCATAATCAATATGGATGATTCCTGGGGAAAATCGTGTTGCTGGAACTATTTCAGTGGGCAATGCAGCACAGTGAGTTTGATGGGCTCTGGGATCAAGCCTGCCTTGTTTTAAACAATGGTACCAGTACTTTCTAACCATATATCTGTAGGTGGGTCGCTTTATATCTGCCATGTGATAGCCATAATACTAATTAGTATCTATTACGTGGCAGAAACCAGTGCTTTGCATACATCATTTCCTTTAATTCCCGTTGCAATATTATGGAGAATGTATTGGTATCCCTACTTTTCATATTTGAGCTAAGACTCAAATATGTAGAGTAACTTGTCTTTTATAATGCAATAAGATTGGTGAAAGCAGTGGACCTAGTCTCGCAGGCTTCACTCAAAACACATATTTGATTCCTGTTGAGTATGCACATTTAAGAAAAGCAAAGAAAAAAACACAATGATTAGCTCTAAAATTTCTGCAACAATTAGGGAGCTAGGTGAAAAATATTATTCTCATTTTTCACATGTGACATACTCCAGGCTCACTCAGCTAATAAATGTCAGGGCCTGAGACTGGAACCCAACACCAATAAATAGTATTGATCCAGTGCTCTTTCTACTAAAACACACACAACACATCATCGACATCATCACCATTACCATTGTCACATCACCCTCACTACTATCCATCATTGTCAACATCATCATCCACTATCACTAACATCACTATTACTACCAACACCACCACCACCACCACCACCATCATCATCATCATCATCATCATCAGGCTGACAATAGAACTAAAACATCTGTATCTGGGCTGGGGCTAGTCATAGATCTAGTGCAGACATCATTGTGAAGAATATGCAGTTCATCTTGTCTCCCTCAAGACTAAAAGTCTTGGGGACAGATCATATCTTTTCCATGATTAGAAAAGGCTTTCATCACCATTATTAGGGCTCTCCCCACTTCAAACTACACCCTCTCCTCACTTTGAAATAATACTTTGCGCAAGAGAAACCCACCAGATTATAGCAAACTGAAAACACAACAAATCGATTTATCTTCAGAAAGCTGTCATAATTATCCTGACTATATTTGCTGATTATTGATGCTCTCCAGGTTTACAAAGAGATTTGTCCATCTGTTTTCCTAGTTTGAACGTGAAATGAATTGCTGGAGGCAAAGCTGTGACAACAGCCTCCCTTCTCCCAGGCAACGGATTATGATGCTCCACACCCAATTATTATATTACTGTAGAGTCTACTCAGAAGGAAAGAGCTGATCCCAGCACAAACTAGCTGAAAGGCCAGCAAATGGCAGGATAATAAAATAATAGTAACAGCTAACACTTATTGAGCGCTCACTGTATGCCAGGCACCACTCTAAGCACTTTACCGCATTAATTCTTTTTACCCCACCAAGTTAATTATTTCTAGTATACCTCACTGTTGCTCTAGCGAAATTATCTGCACTCAGAGGAGAAAAATTAACCAACATGATTCTAGCACCACAAACCATATTCTCCTGGGCTTGATTTCCCTGGCTCATTGCCTGTGCTTCCTGATATCCATACAGTTAATGGATTATATATAAGAGCAGAATCAGGTGATAAATACTTGGAATCTAAGCAGTTTATCTCCAGAGTCCATTTTTTAAACTCCCATACTATATTGGGAAACAAGAAGATAAAGTCAATACATAAAGGTTACAATCAATAAAAGTCATAGAATTATAGCATTTTAGTATTAATGCAACACTAAAATATTAAATGTAAGTATTCAAATATTACAGATAATATTCTTAATATTCTAAAAAAAAAACACAATAAATGACTTGTACCAAGTTTCTTTGTATTACATATCATGCCAAGCTCAAGAAAATCAAGCAAACACAACTTAATCTCAATCTTTGAGTTTAATTTGGGAATAGACATAAATGGCATTTATTCCACAGCATTTCACTTATCATTTGTGAAAAATAATAAAGCCCATGATTTAAAATGATTCCTTTGTGTTAGTAACTAAGGTGAAGCATGTGGGAAGTAGCAAACCTCAGGAGAAACATTGAATTGAACACACACTTGGCCAAACAGATCTTACATGTCCTACCTGGGCATCAACCCTTTTGAAAACAATGCATTTCCCACTTATTGGAATTTTCCTTTCTTGGTATAAAAAAGGTTTAGAAGCATCAAGTGTCTAGTGAAGAATTGAGGCCTCCCTCCACTTCTGTATCAGAGGTACTTGTACACAAAGTTTTCTCCTTTCATCAAGCTGAGAGATCCTGTCTCTTCTCACCCTGCCCCACAACATCACTAACTCCAGCACTAGTCTGAAGTTCTCTCGAAGTAATATCAATCATTTAGACAGCAAAATTTCAAGTGTCCCAGAATCCAGGTAAATAAACTTAAGGAATGGAAATCTATTCATAAGGTGCTAACTTGGAAGCTGTCAAAATAAGTTAATTAATGTAACCTGGATATTTATTAAAATGCGTCCCATTCAGAGATTCTAATTTAATGGGTCTGTGATAAAGCCAAGGAACCTACATTTGAAACAAGCGTTCCAGGTGAGTCTGATTCAGGGAGTTTAATCAAAGGCCACTTTGAGGAACGCAGTTCTATATCATACCATAAGCACTAGAGGGATGAGCATCCATCAAAGGGAGGAAGTACAAAACAGCCAAAAAGAATCTGGGACAAGATGGCGGCTATAGGCACTGGGCCAAGAGGTAGGCCATGGTGGGGAGGAAATAGCTGGAATTGCTGGCATTTGGAGGTGGGTGACTACCAAAGACTAACTCTGCCCACCCAAAAAAGTCTTAGCTCTGCCTTATAAAATCATAACGTAGATTTAAAATTGATTCTGGATATGTAGCATTCATATGGTGTAAAATAGAATTATAGTAATGGAAAGAAGCACAATTAAATAAGGGACATTGGACTCCAAAAAGCCTCTGAATACAACAGCACAGGTGATATTTTTTATATCACCATTTCATTTTTTTTTTCAAAGTTTCAGATATAAGGCATTATCTTCAGCTAGGGACAAATCCTCTCCTTATTTTTCCAAGTCATGAACAAACAGAAAAACACTCTTTAATCATTCCCTTTCAATATCTTACCTTCTACGCTGCCAGATTCCTGATAAAACCAATAGTGTGATTGCAACTATGACGATACAAAATACCACACCGAATATAATAATCCAGACGGGCACAGATGGGTCAGTAGGTGGTGCAAGAGTGGAAGGAATTTTTAAAAATTCGAGAGTCTGGTCATTCAAAGAGAAGGCATTGTTGATCCGGTTCCTATTCATTCTAAAATACAATGACAATAAAAACAAATAAAACAAAACAGCAAAAAATTAGGGACAGAAAATGTAGACCTCTCTCTCCATGATTAGACAGTTTGTCGAGGACATTCATGCTGTGGTATTCTCATTAGTTGCTGAGCTCACTGACAAAGAGGTGCTCTTCTATGCACTCCTGTCCTCCCTTGTTGCAAATGTTCTAGAAGTAACCAGAAGTCCTGAACTTGCGCTCTGCCCACCATGTTTTATTTCCTAAGAGTTAACATCTAGATTAAAATGACAAGAATCTATTTAAGGTGATTTGCATAAATACCAACAGCCCCAAGAGATAAAATTATATGTTAACAAGTGAATGATGAACGAGAACAAAAGAAAACCAGGAAAAGAAAACATTAATCCAGGAACAGTTGCAAACCCATTGGTTTGATCTTTTTCCTCCATTAATTCAACCAACATTTGTGGAAAACTTACTAAGTACCAAATACTGTGCTAGGTGCTGTAGATATAATGTGAAATAAAAAATACCAAAGACCTTACAGTCTAGAAGGATGACAGATCAGCCCCTCTACAATCACAGTGAGATACAAAATGTTCTGTGAAAAAGGAAAATATGGGTACAGTTAGGGTGCCCAGCAGAGGGCTCAGGACACCACAGTGAGAAGTCAGGGCTGCTTTCCTGAGAAGGGACTTTTGAACTGTGTTTGTTTGTTTGTTTTTTAAATTATTTTTTAAATATATTTTATTGATTTTGTACAGAGAGGAAGGGAGAGAGATAGAGAGTTAGAAACATCGATGAGAGAGAGTCATCAATCAGCTGCCTCTTGCACACCCCCTACTGGGGATGTGCCCGCAACCAAGGTACATGCCCTTGACCGGAATCGAACCTGGGACCTTTCAGTCCCCAAGCCGATGCTTTATCCACTGAGCCAAACCGGTTTCGGCTGAACTGTGTTTTGAGGCCAAATTGTGTAGTGAGCACAGGAATGGAGACAAGGTATAGTATGATTTTCTCAGTAAACTGCAAGTAGTTCTCTATGACTAAAGTAAATGGTGCTTTCAGAGTCCAAAAGCCTAGAAAGCATAAAGGTAAATGTGCCACTTCTCCTGGGGAAAATCTGCATGTTTGGTGGTGGCACCAGTTAGGGAGGCATGGAAACATGCCTTAGGGAAGGGTTGGTTATAAAGACTTTTGTGTCTGAAACCAGAAAAGTTAATTTCTAACTGGAATTTGAAAACTAGATGAGATTTCTTGGAGATATGGTATGGCTTTAATAAATTCACACTAGACAAGCTGACTTCATCTCCCTCTAGAGCAGCCCTGAAAAATAGAAATACAATGCGAGTCTTATGTGTGACTTAAAAAAATTTTAGGAGCTGCATTTTAAAAAAAAGTAAAAACAAACAAGTGAAATTAATTTTAACAATATATTTTTCCCAATACATCTAAGAAAATATTTCAACATATAATCAATATTGCCTTGGTTCACATCTTATTTTGTATTAAGTATTTGAAATTCAGTGTGTTCTTTACACTTAGAGCATATCTAACCTTGGACTAGCTACATTTCAAGTGCTCAATAGCCAAATATGGCTGGTGACTACCGTCTTGTGCAGTGCCGGTATTGAACTTGACAGTAATGGCTTGAGAATCTCTGCAGATCCGCACCAAGCTATCAGGAAAGACCTCCTTTAGCAAATAAAAATCTATGCTGAGGCATGATTATTCATTAATATAAAGGATAATCTCAACCAAATTATCTACAGCAGGGGACAATGTCAATAGGATTTTTACTAAACTGTAGAATGTTTTCTTTTACAACCTAATATTGATAATCCAAGAACACAAATATTTCCACAAAATAATGAACTCTAAGGTCTAAGTCAGAGTAAAATGAAAAGTTGCTCTGTATTCTCATCCTACCTACCTGGTTGGTTAACACTTTGCTATTCTATCACCTTTCAGGCTGATTAGAAGTTCCAGTTCAGTACAGACTAAACCTAAGTCCACCACTGAAATCCCTACTAGGTATCAATCAACAAGAATCTTTCAACCAAGATTGGCCTTGAATATGGGCAGACCCTCACAAAACAGCTAAAACAGCCATCTTAGAACTGGTAAGTCATCCACTCACCTAATTCTATAGGTGTAAACACTCTTAGTAGAGAGGGGGGAAAAATCACTGGACTTGGTGGCAGCATACCTGGATTCAAGTCCTTGCTGTTTATTTTTCAAGCATGGTGGCCTTAACAAATCAATTAATCTCCCTAAATCTCAATGTCCTCATTTATAAATGTGGAATAAGAATAATGTCTCAAAAATGACTGGCATTGCTATAAATGCCACAGATGCATGAAAACATGCCTGTGAAGCAAAAACTGTTAGGCAAATTAGGTATAACTAGTATTATTTTGCCCAACTATCTAGATCCTTCAGACTTGAAATTTCTCTTGCCTGCACTCTAAGTACCACATCCTTCTTTTCACTCTATCCTTCCTTCTTGGTATTGTTTCCTTTCCTTTTCTTTTAATTTAATTTTATTGTTTAAAGTATTACAAATAGTAGTACATGTCTCCTTTTCCCCCCCATTGACTTTTCCCAGCCTCCCCTAGCCCCTGGGACATGCCCTCCCCCCTTCCCCCCAAGTGTCTTGCAACCATTGATTATGCATGCATACAAGTCCTTCAGTTGATTTCTTACCTCCCCCCACCAACCCTCTCCAGCCTTCCCCCTGTAGTTTGACAGTTTGTTCTATACTTCTCTGCCTCTGTATCTATTTTTGCTCATCAGTTTATAATATTCTTTATTACGCATAAATGAGTGAGATCATGTGGTGTTTTTCTTTCACTGACTGGCTTATTTCACTTAGCATAATGCTCTCCAGTGCCACCCATGCTGTTGCAAATGGTAAGAATTCCTTTTTACAGCAGCATAGTATTCCATTGTGTAGATGTACCACAGTTTTCTAATCCATTCATCTGCTGACGGATATTTGGGCTGTTTCCAAATCTTAGGTATTGTAAATTGTGCCGCTATGAACATAGGGGTGCATGTACCATTTCTGATTGGTATTTTTGTTTTCTTGGGATATATTCCTAGAAGTGGTATTACTGGGTCAAATGGCAATTCCGTTTTTAATTTTTTGAGGAAACACCATACTGTTTTCCATTGTGGCTGCACCAGTCTGCATTCCCACCAGAAGTGAAGAAGGGTTCCTTTTTCTCTGCATCCTCTCCGGCACTTGTCTGTTATTGATGTGTTGATGATAGCCATTGTGACAGGTGTGAGATGGTACCTCATTGTTGTTTTCATTTGCATCTCTTGAATGATTAGTGACTTTGAGCATGTTTTCATATGTCTTTTGGCTTTCTGAATGTCCTCTTTCAAAAAGTGTCTATTTAGGTCCTTTGCCCATTTTTTGATTAGATTGTTTATCTTCCTTTTGTTAAGTTGTATGAGTTCCCTGTAAATGTTGGAGATTAAACTCTTATAGGAGATGAAATTGGCAAATATGTTCTCCCATGCAGTGGGCTTTCTTGTTGTTTTGTTGATGGTTTCTTTAGCTGTGCTGAGGCTTTTTATTTTGATGTACTCCCATTTGTTTATTTTCTCTTTAGTTACCATTGCCCTAGGAGCTGTATCGGTAGATACTGCTATGACAAACATCTACTATTTTGCTGCCTATGGCTTCTTCTACGATTTTTATGGTTTTCCATCTTACATTTAAGTTCTTTATCCATTTTGAGTTTATTTTTGTATATGGTGTAAGCTGGTGGTCTAGTTTCATTTTTTTGCATGTATCTGTCCAGTTTTCCCAACACCATTTATTGAAAAGACTGTCTTGTCTCCATTGTATGCTCTTGCCTTCTTTGTCAAATATTAATTAAGCATACTGGCTTGTGTTGATTTCTGGGCTCTCTGTTCTATTCCACTGGTTAATATTTCTGATTTTTTTTGCCAGTGCCAGGCAGGTATGTTAACAGTGGCTTTGTAGTATAGCTTGATATCTGGTATTGTGATCCCTTCAACATTGTTCTTCTTTCTCAAGATTGCTGCAGCTATTCGGGGTCTTTTTTAATTCCAGATGAATTTTTGGATAATTTGTCCTAGGTCTTTGAAGTATGCAATTGGTATTTTAATGGGGACTGCATTGAATTTATAGATTGCTTTGGGTAGTATGGACATTTTAATGATGTTGACTCTACCAATCCATGAACATGGTATATTCTTCCATTTGTTCATGTCTTCCTCTAGCTATTTTTTTAGCTCCTGAAATTTCCCTTTATTTTCATACAATCCTATCGAGCCCTATCCATTCCGATATAAATTTCCATTTTATTAGCCATCCTCACCCCCCCCCCTTGAAACAAGCATTCTGTTGTGAACATATTCATCTACATATCTACCTTCACCCCAAACACTCTTCCTCCTTACATGAATTGAGGCCTGATTTAACCACAGTGCCTTCATTTTCCTTGCAGCCTTCCCACATCACAGGGCATGAATAAAAGCCCTTTTCACGTGAAATACTAATACAATATTCCTAGTTCTTACTACCTAAGTGGTGGATCTTAACAGTATTTTTAGTAGCAAAAGTGTAGGAACAATTTAGTTCAAATCATCATTTGAAGCAGATTAAATCATTTCCCATTGATATAGATCAGAAGTGGGGAATGTCTGGCCCGCAGGCCAACTAAGGCCCTCGAAATCATTTGGTCTGGCCCTGCCAAAGCATTAGTGGTGAGTTAATGAAATGTTTGACCAAATATTGTAAGCTAATTTTTAAGCTGAACATTTTCTATGGCCTACATATGTTATAAATATCCAAATGGCCCTTGGCAGATAAAAGGTTCCCCACCCTAGGCATCAATAATTTTGCTTCAGCAAGGGAAATAGATGATTGTTCACACAAAACCTTTGGCATTTGATCATGTGTTCATTATCTTAAATGTTAATATTTTACAGAAAGCAAATGAGTTCTTTCACTAGATATTTCTCCTTGGTAAAGACAATAATGTGCACCTTAGTAACCTATAAATCCATAGTAAAGAGAGTTATTTGTTTCCTTTTTTCTTTTTTAGAAAATACAGGGTAAATGTATACACACTTTGAATAATTATTAATTCCAATGGGTTAAATCTGAAAAGAAAAAAAGATCAATTGAGCTATAAGCTGTTAAAGTATATGTGCATTTTTGGGATACCCTATTTGCCCAACATCAATCATGCATGGGATCTGAAGTTTTGACACGTAAAGTGTGCACAATAATTGAAATAAAAACAAATTGCATCCTTCTGCTTCTATGAAATAAAGATTACATATTGCATTTCCCTTTTCAAAATCTGTTATGATCACAAGAAGAGGAGAGGAAACATCAGGAAAAACTGTAAATCTTGAAATGGGTAAAAAAGTATCACTGAGTATCTGGCAAGAACACCTTTTTGGATAATTTCTGCCTTTTATTGTTTATGAGTTATTTTGCAAATTTGTAAGTTGTATATAAAAGTAACATAATGTAAATGATTCCTGTCCACAGAAAATCAAGTGAATTGTGTCTGGCAGAACACAATTGATGACTACTTGATAAACTGGTGCATCTTTTTAAAAATAAAGATCACCATTCCTCAGTTCCTATGTATGCATGCTTCCTTGAAGTCTCCTTTGAACTAGTTTTAATATTTTACTAGTTTCCTCATTAATGAATGAAATAATGAAGTATTTGATAGAATTTATTTTTATTTGTATGAATCCTAATTTTATCTTTTTTAAAAAGGCATCTTTTACAAATTGGTAGTCACAAAGTAATCATGAGGATGCAAAGTACAGCACAGGGAATATAGTCAATAATATTGTAGTAACTATGTATGATAGCCAATATGTACTTAAAATATAGAGGGAACACTTTGTAAAGTATATGACTGTCTAACTTGAAATGTTGTAAACTCAAAACCAATAAGGAATAATATTAAATGTAAACTGTAATTGAAAAATTACAAAGTAAGATTAAAAGGTATCTTTTAAAGATAAAGACTGTACATTGACTAAGGAATGTAAATTCTTAGAAATCTGAGCTAGGGTTACCATATTACTCTTGTTTCATAAATGAAAAAAGGAAAGCAAAAGAGGAGAAGCAATGTGTCTATATTCAAATAATTAGCAAGAAGCAAAACCAGAATTAACAACCTAAACATTTGGCCTCCAGAATCCACGTGATGAGTCATCACACAATAGTTCTGTACAAGGTGTTCTTGCTTTAAAATAAATAAATAAATAAATAAATAAAAGACAGTACCAAACATTCTTAGTTAATATTTAAACCAAAGTCTCTCAACCACAGCATAACTGACATTTGAGATCTAATAATTCTTTGTTGTGAGATACTGTCCTGGGCATAGTATGATTTTTATTTTATTTATTTTTATTTTTTTAATATATTTTATTGATTTTTCACAGAGAGGAAGGGAGAGAAATAGATAGCTAGAAACATCGATGAGAGAGAATCATCGACCAGCTGCCTCCTGCACACCCCCTACTGGGGATGTGCCTGCAACCAATGTACATGCCCTTGACCAGAATCGAACCTGGGACCTTTCAGTCCACAGACCAACGCCCTATCCACTGAGCCAAACCGGTTTCGGCCATAGTAGGATTTTTAGCAGCATCCTCAACTTCTGCCTGGTGGCAAACTTCCCTCTGCCCCATGCTGTGACAGCAAAATACCTGGAAACATTGCCAAATGTTTTTTGGAGGGAAAAGTACCCTTTAATGAGAACCGCTGATCTATAATCTCTACTACAAACTAGCAAAATAAAATCCTTGACATCTTAGTAAATAAATATTTTGAGGCAGAAATAAAAATTTTAATGCCTAGGAAAAGATGGAATTAATCAACAGGTTGATTTACCGGTAGAAGGCATATTTCACAGTGATTACCTTATGGCTGACTGTATCTCATCAGCAGGAAGTGTGTAGGTTTTCGTAGGATCTGTAACCACAAACCAGAATGACACCCTCTGGGTTACGTTGCAAAGTAAGACATGGGAAATTCTGCAGATGATGGGAAGAGAAAAAAAAAAAAAAACACTGTAAGCAAATCATGCCACATTCCATTGGACTCTCCACTCTGGTGTTATTGCCATCTTAAGATATGTCTTAGCTATTAGTGAAAAGTAATTTCTACCAGTATGAAGAGAGGTATTATTAAGAATGAAATCACATAGGAAATTTCTTTTGTTTCAAAATCATATACTTGAGGACCATTCCTTAAATTAAAGACTCTACCAAAAAATAAAATCAAGAAGAATTATTTAATAGAGAGCTTTAGAGACCTCACCCTCCACCACCTGTTAGCTGGCAGCACCCCTGCCTTCCAAACACTGGGCCTCTGAACCACTGAAGCTTCTCGGATCCAGATAAATCCGATGCCCACTCTTGATCCAATAGTTGCTCTAATGGCCACTGTTTCTGTGCCTCTTCCACTCCGGTATTGGGGCTGGTCCATAAACCTTTGAACACTGTTTTTGCAGTTACCTGCTTTCCAATTGTAAATTGGAAATGTGCTTCCTTTTGATCACACACATGTATCCACCCACCCAAGGGAACCCTGACCCCTGTGCTAAGGAGACAGCACTGAGGCCTCTCAGCCAATGCAAGAAAGGAAAGGGAAGTTTGAAAGACAACTCTAGCTGAGACCCAGACACCCAGAGAAGGAGGCCAAGCTTAGAGCACAAGCCATTGGCCTTCAAACCCTTCCCCTTGTGCCCGGGCCTGAGACTCTGCTCCTGATGCAACAGGTCGAAAGGAAGACAAGGCCACTACCCTCCCTAAGCCTTTCCTGTCTGTCATCCACCCTGATGCGAGGTCACACCATCACGGCTGCAGACTGTGAGAGAACTGGAAGCGTGTGGTCCTGCTGGTGTCCTATTACTGGAGGCCCTGCCACCACCAACTCCTAAAATTCAAACCCTGGTGAGTACTACTCTGCCCCTGCGTGAGTCAAGGATACTACCAGGTCACCTACCATCATCCCAGCTGGCAGGTCTGCCAAGCCCCAGACCCTCACCCACCACCCCTTCTGCCTTTTCCTAGGAACATCCTAATGAGGAAGGCATTTTTCAACCCTGCTTGTCCAGTGTGCATACTAACAAGTTTGTTTTTATTTTAAACATTAAGTATAGGCATCTTTATTATCTTGGACATTGTCATAGTCTTTCTTTCAAAGGTTCATATAATAGGATTCTTCCACACCACAGTTTCTCCAGCTTGGAACTGTTAATATTTATTTCCCTCTTGCTTGCTGGATGATGTCCTCTGTATTGCAGGGTTTCAGCAGAATCCCCATCTCTAACCTCTAGGTGCCAGCAGCATAACCACATTGTGAAAATGGCATTGCCAAATATTCCAGGATGTGGGGAGGCTTGGAAGGAGGGTGTGTGTGTGTGTGTGTCACAGAGACAGTCAGAGACAGTCACCCTAGTGGAGAATGCTTGAGAGACAGTGCCCTCTACTGACAGAAACTGTTAAGCTTGTTCTCCCAAAATGTGTGAGTTTAAAACATGCCCAAGATACAGAGATGAACAAAATTAAGTGCATGCTTGGCAAAAGTATTGTCCCCAGTTTTGTAGAATGCTGTAGCACGGGAATTATTTATGGCTTTTCCCTTATTAATAATCAGACAATGTAAAGATTTTTTTTAAATGAGCTGCTCATTTAAGCTCTTCAGGTTGCTAAAAATTAAAAAGTAAGATAGCAACAAATGCTGGTAAATAAGCAGAGAATTGGAATCCCAGCAGTGTGGGGAGGGGGGGTGTCCTTGAGTCCAGCCATTCTGAAGTGTTTCCTAGAACAGAGTGCAGCTACCAGCTGTGCTCTGAGAGAGAGAGAGAGAGAGAGAGAGAGAGAGAGAGAGAGAGAGAGAGAGAGGTCAGTGAGAATGTTCTCTGTCAAACTCTATCAGAGCTGAGAAATGGAACAACCTCAGTGTCCATCAGTATGGGAATGGATCACATAAATCTGGTCTGTGCAATCAAGCGAGTCCACAGATTCAAAGAAAGAAGAGCCCAGGGCATCTGGAGTATTGAGCCAGATAATTCTGTGTTGGGTAGCTGAGCTGTGCATTGCAGGATGTTTAGCAGCAACCCTGGCCTCTCTCCAGTAGTTGTCATTAGGCCATCTTCACTAGTGACAATCAAAAATGTCTCCAGGCATTGGCAAATATCTTCTGAAGGACAAAGATCACCTCCAGTGGAAAGCTACTGAACTAGAACTACACTTTTACAACTAAAAGGATAAATCTCAAAACTACACATATTGAATGAAAAGGATGGGAGGTGTAATGTCATATGTAGCACATGCCATTTATGTAAATTAAACACCAAGTAATACCGCTGGCATAAGAGAGGCCAGGAGCCAAGGAGGTGGGCATTTAAATACTTGCCTGTGATTTTCTTTCCATTTAAAGTCTCTAAATCCTGCTCCAACATGAACTTTGTGTGTTTGTCTTTAGAGACAGAAAAGAGCTGTGTTCTCCCTTGGAGCTTGGTTTCTAATGGGGCGGAGACAGAAGATACCCAGGTATAATAAATAAATGCACACACTGCCAGGTGGGAGAAGTGCTATAAGAAAATAAACCAGGAAGAGGAATGCATGCGCTCCATCAGCTCTTCCCCGTGCCTTCCTCACCATGGAACTACACTGTCCGTTACCATGAATTCAAGTTATTTATTCAGTATTTCTTTGGGGTGCCAATTCATGCTTTAATACAGCACCTTGGCAAACAAAGTAAAAACATTTGAAATAAAAATTTCCGAAAGATTAAAATAATGATGAAAAGAGTAAATCCAACATTTTCAACTAAGGTAGTTACTGTTAGATACAAAAGATCTTGGACTCTAAAAATGATGCTTCTCTTTTGAAGATTACTTCCTGTCATTTGCTAGATTGCAGACTAGGCTTTTCACTCTACATGACTAGACAGGGCTTGAGATCTTAGTGTGCCAATGAAAACACTGCTGGCATTTTGAGTAGGAAATGCCTCATTATGTGGCAATGTCCTGACATGGGTACCAAATTGGTTATCTCTCATCCCCACCCTCTAAATGCCACAACAATCTCCAGTAATAGATATAACCCAACAGCACACCATTTCCATATGCAACCTTGATATACTACATGGCTGGAATCAGTACTATACCCAGGTGAAAAACACTTATAAATCTCTTCAGACATGTCAAGGTCATGAAAAACAAGAGAAGATGGAGAAAATGTTAGGTTGGATCAGCCTAAAGAGGAATAGAATCTAGAACAGAAACAGGACAATAGTCTAAAAAAAGGAAATGTGAAAAATGCCACAGTTGAACAACATAAAGTCAATGTTAATTTCTTAATTTTGATATATTTATCATAGTTATTTAACACTAGAGGCCTGGTGCACAAAATTAGTCACGGGTAGGGTCCCAAGGCCTGCCCAGTGATCAGAGCCGATTGAGGCCTTCAGCTGATGGCCAGGGCCTTCCTTCATTTGGCACCACCCCCTAGTGGTTAGCACACATCACAGCAAGCGATCAAACTTCTGGTTTCCCAGTCAAACTCCCAAGGGGACACTGCATATTAGCCTTTTATATATATAGATAATAATAATGGGAAAATGGGTGAAAGGTCTAGAGTAGAAATTCTGACCTTCAGTGCTACTGCATTTTAGGCTGGCTAAATCTTACTTGTGAGAAGTTGTCTATTCTTTTGAAGGATTTTTGCAGCATGCCTAGGCTCTACACACCAGATGCCAAGAACACATCAAATTGTGAAAAACAAAATGCCTCCGGACATTTCCAAATATACTCAGGAGCAGTGGAGGAACAAAATACCCTCAGGTTGAAGACTACTGGGACACAGAATCTTTTTGCATTATCTCTGCAACTCTCTTGTAAATATACCTTTTTTTCAAATTAAATGCAAACACATATACAAATACAGGAGCAAAGCAGTTATTTTTAAAGTTCCCTGTGCACAATTAAAACGATATACAATAATAAAATAAGGCAATGGATTAATAACAATTCTTACTTGCTTCATGAATAAAGCGATAACAGATACACATGTACTTAGAAAATCAGGAAAGGCCGTGTTCAAATGCAACATAATGGCACCTGTCAGCATAATGGTGCTTTTAATACTTATGCAAAAATTTTTAAATGTGTTCTGTTGTGTATTCAATTTTATCAAGTATTTATTAGGATATCCCTCCCCCCACTGTACTAGTGTCTTAGGAAGCACTATTTCCATAATTTATCCTAAAACTGATATTACCAAAAAAAAAAGGCAATACTTTTAGCTGCATAGGGTCTTCTTCAACAGAATACTAAGTACCCCTCCTGCATGGTGCTTTCTTGAAGAATAGTAAGTCTAAGATGTTAAACAAACAAATAAGTCACTGCCTTTCCTCAAGCGTGGAAACCCTAGACTGAAGGTGATTCTCCAAGAATTGGCTCCATTGCCATTTCTCATCCATGGCGCCAGACAGGGCCAACTGCTTCCAAGAGGTCTAAGAATCAGGCTCTTGTTTCTGGAAACCAAAAGACCTAAATAGGAGCTGGGATGCTGTCTTACAAGCACAAGACTGCTAATCCCCTTACCGTGGAGACAACAGCACGTTGTTCCTTTTGTAGATCACAAGGCTTTTCCTTGAATAGGCAGGGGAGGAAACCCATTTTGTGCCCTACACCATTAATTCAGAAAGAAAATATCATGCTGTTAGACTTCTACTCTCTTGTTAAAAATGCAGATTATCTTAAAAGCCAACATTTGAGTAAAATTTTAAATTTAGATTATATTTTTCATAGAAATGATTTTCAACATTTCAAAGTTCCTGTGAAGCTATTTTAGTAAATCTGGCCTAAATCTTCTTACAAAAATTTTAAAACACCTGGTTGTCCATTTCAATCCAAGTCCCAACAAAACTTCAAATAACCTGGAATAATGAGATCAGAACTTTCTATCATTTAGATTTTTCTATCCATCTTTCATTCTACTATTATGAAAATCCAAAACAAGAGAAAAACAATTGACATCAAGGATTGTAAGAAAATACTATGAGCAGTAGAAAATACTATGGGCTCTAAAGGATAAGTGGGAGAAAAAAGGGGCATATGTAATACTTTCAACGATAAGGATTTAAAAAAAAAAAAACATATGCTAGTAATGATTCCACAAGAATCATATTTAGTCCGTCCTCCTATAATTTCTGGTAGAGTCAGCTTCTTGGGTGTGAGGCCTAAGCTGTATGAAACCTGGCTTTACCCATCATTTAAATATCAATGCCCAGCACATACTACACTTTCTATTCTTAATTTAATTCTCTGGATCCAACCACAGCAATGCAATTCAATAGGCCGGCCTCAGTAGAGCACAATAAAAAAAGAGGTCCAGCTGAAACCGGTTTGGCTCAGTGGATAGAGTATCGGATTACAGACTGAAAGGTCCCAGGTTCGATTCCGGTCAAGGGCATGTACCTTGGTTGCAGGCACATCCCCAGTCGGGGGTGTGCAGGAGGCAGCTGATGGATGTTTCTCTCTCATCGATGTTTCTAACTTTCTATCCCTCTCCCTTCCTCTCCTTAAAAAATCAATAAAATATAATTTTTAAAAAAAGAGGTCCATGTTCCCCTCACCACTGCCTTTGGTGCTCTGTCAGCTCTCGCTTCTTGAAGGCATTTGGAGCAGTTGGGTAGCTTTGCTGTCACTTCTGGCTATTAAAGTCTCTCCCCTCACATACACCCAGGCAACTCTGTGAGCAACTCTCCACCTGACTAGAGGCTGGCAGGGAAACAAGCAAGGCGATCACTCTGAACACTTCATTGTGGAAAGAGTATTAAAGGCTCAAGGCATCAAGTAACAGCAAATATATTTTTCTAAACATCTATAAAATAGGAATAGAGTTCACTTAGGGTATAATTTTGTTTTACTATAGACTTCATTCTTTTAATTTTTTGAATCATGTGAATATGTTACTTATTTTTAAATATATGTGTATACACTGAGTGGCCAGATTATATTATGATCTCTGAATTCTTATCATATGATATGCTCCACATCTCCCTTCCATTCTGTGTGTGTGTGTGTGTGTGTGTGTGTGTGTGTGCGTGTATGAGGCTCGGTGTATGAATTTGTGCATGAGTGAGGTCCAGCCAGCCTGGCCAGGGGGAAGGGACATGGGCAGTTGACTGGCCTGCCTACTGGTCGAACTCCTGGTCAAGGGGACAATTTACATATTAGCCTTTTATTGTATAGGATATACATTGCGTTCAGAGGTCATAACAATCTGGCCACACAAATACATGGGTCACATGTTCAATTTGTTCTCCAAAATTTGACTCCTACTTTATTTCTTATATTTATAGGCCATTCATCATATATTGTGTGGATTTGAGAGAGACCAATAAATAGCAATCCTCTTTACCAGCTTCTGAAGCATTAGAAAATTAAGATACTGAATGAAGCAGATAGGAGACCAAAATAAAAGGCTGGGTTGGAGGATGTAACTTTAATCAGCAGACAAATTTCCTTGCTAATTAAAAAAAATGTTTTGAAATGAAATCAATTCCTCTACAGTGTCCCATGTAGAACTGAACTGAGGCAAGTATCACCACACACTGGGGTAGTATACAAGATATTCAACACCTTATGATCTGCACCTACCAATCTAAACAGCGCTCAGCTGTAACCAGCACACACCGCCTTCCCGGTGTATGCCCGCCCATGCAGGGCCAGATTCTGTACTTACGGAAGAGAGCAGCAAATGGCTGCAGCCAGAGGGAGGAAGGCTCTGAAGGAGAAGAGAGCCCAAGCCCCATTTCTCCTTGCAGCTCATCAGTCAGATCATTCATTTTACCCCTCAAGGGGAAGAATGAGGGACAGAGGAGAGAAACCGGGAGTGTTACCTTAATCACAGATAGAAATGGTGGGAAACATCATAACTAGAGAAAATTCCTCTGGATGAGTAGATAGAAAAGTAAAACTATTAAAATTCTACTAAAGCCTGTAAGAAAATAAGCAAGGTACTATGATAGATACCAGCAAACCTATACGTATTTAAGTTATTTTCAAAATGAGTACTATGGATTTATTTGTCACCCTCCGAATTCATATCTTGAATCCCAAACCCCAAATATTTGGCCTATAGGAGGTCGTTATGGCTAAATTAGGTCACAGGTGGAGCCCTAACAATATAGGATTAGTGTCCTTATAAGAAAATATACTAGAGAGCCCACTCTTTCCCCTTCCACTTCCCCTTTATTGAAGAGGTCACGTGAGCACACAAAGATCTGGTGGCACCTGCAAGCCAGAAGAAGACCCCTGAGAATGAAACCTTCCTTGGAAGCACCTTAAATGTGGACTTTCCAACCTCCAGAGCTGCGAGAAATAAGCTTCTTTAACCACCCAGTCTGTGTTATTTTGTTACAGGAGCCGAACTGACTAATACAATGAGAGGAGAGTTCTTATCTATACTATCTATCTATTCATTAGCAAGAGAAAGATGTATACAACAGAAGTGCAGAAAGCTTTTGTAAAAGTTAAACAAAAATGTGGTTTCCTTAAAATGAGATTAATAATTTTTTTTCCAAAATCAAGTTCTGATTTATAATAGTATCTCAAATAATACTGCAAGTTATCAATTGGGATTTGTCACCATTTACTTACTCTGTTGTTTCTCTGTTGGGAACTTTCCTCATGGAGAAAGCCACCATTGCTTTGAAGAGATATTCTTCATTTGTATCCCAGGCATACTGAAGAGAAGTAAAACAGGAATGAAAAACGAAGAGGCATGAGGTAGAAAACAGTGCACTGGATTGCCCTGGCCTGTGTTGATGAGTGGTTAGACTGGGTTTGATTCCAAAGGCACATGCTTGGGTTTGAGGTTCGCTCCCTGCCCCCAGTCAGAGCATGTACAGGAAATAACCAATCAATGCGTCTCTCTCACATCACGTGGACGTTTCTCTCCTTCCCTCTCTTTCCATCTCCCTTCCGCTCACTCTGAAAAGCAATGGGGAAAATATCCTCAAGTGAGGATTAATAACAATAAAAATAGTGCACTGGATTCTAATTGTGGCCACAGTTTTTCCCCACCACCCATCCTTCTTATATACTAAAAACTGGAAACTATGATAGATCATATCACCATAATGTTCAGGATAGAATTTCTTGTACATTCTATCATTCCAAGTGTGGCATGTTTTCCATTGCATTATCTTCTTTAGATCTGCAGTATTAATAGCCAATAAATAGGACATTTGGACATCTCATAATGAACAAATACAGTCAGTTCCCTTCCTCCCTTTCTACTTTCCCACAGAACCTGATTCCCCGTCTCAGCTTCCTTCCTTTATAAACATCAGTACACATGTTCTTAGCTTGAAACCTGAGTGTACGTATGTGCATGATATGGGCTGAATTAGGCCGCCACCCCCAAAGAAACATTAATTTGTACATCCTATCCTAGTACCTCAGAATGTAATCATATTTGGAGATTGTGTCCTTATGAAGGTGATTAGGTTAAAATTAGGTCAATAAGGTAGGCCCTAATCCAACATGACTGGTGTACTTACAAGAAGAGGAAATCTGGACACACACACACACACACACACACACACACACACACACATGCACACACACACACACACACACACACACACACACACACACACACTGAAAGAAGACGGGTGAAGACACAGGGAGAAGACAACCACCTACAAGCTAAGAAGAGAGGCCTGGAATGACTCCATCCCTCATGGGACTCAGAATGAACCAACCCTGATGACATCCTGTCCTGGATTTCTAGCCTCCAGAACTGAAAGGAATAAACTGCTGTGTTTAGTGACCCAGTCTTGGTTGCAGCAGCGCTAGGAAACTAATGCAGCCTACCTCACAGTATAGTGAGCAATCAAGTATTACTGGAGAAATGACCAAACGGGGTTTGTTGGTTACTCTACATTCACGGTGACCTGCTCCCACATCGCCTCAAGTTTCCTCATCAGCTTTCTTTCTCTCCTGGTTCACAATGACCATTCCAAGCTCTCTTCAGGCCGCACAAACCTCAGTGCTAGCCCTCACATCTCACTATATGCTCTTGCTTCATAATTTATAGATGCATCTCAAGTTATCAATTTAAACTCCCCCAACCTCCTGTCACCAAATACAAAACTTCCTCCATAGACACACATTCTACTCACATCCTTCTCTCAAGGGATAGATGTGATATTTCTCCTCCTGTCCCTGGCTGTTCCACCCACCTCTGTCAGGAACACTTCCTTTCTGTTCTGCCCTTCTCAGGCTCTAAACAATATCGGTTTCCCCCCTCCTGTTGTTCAATGCTGACTTGAGCCTGTCATTTGACTTTTAACCACACTCAAGTCTTTCCCATAAAACAGCAGCAAAACCAAATCACTTTACTCAGTCTTCCTTTTCCACCTGCTTATGTCTCTCTCGGTCCTTCACAGCCAAAATACTTGAAGGAGTTGTCCATACTTCCCTCGTTATATGTTCAATGACCACTTCTTAAACCTCGTCATTGTCTGCCTTCCACTTATGCCATTCTAAAAGCACAGCTCTCTCTGAAGTTACCAGTTATCTCCACATTGTTTAGCACAATGAGAATTCTTCATTCTCATCTTGCTTGGCCTCTCAACAGCATTTGCGCTCTTAAAAACTCCCTTCATCTTGAAGCACTCTCTTCCCAATCGTGATACAAGAGTTTATTCGTTTTCTTCTTGCCCACTTTGCAGATTCACTGTCTTCTACAAGGACTTCAAGTTTTAGAGAAACTCAAAGCTCTCTCTCCTCTTGGACCTCTGTACTTTTCCCCTGGGCACTGTCATGGACTACAGATTTCCACTGGAATGTATATCTCAAGCCAGCTCTGTCCTTGCTTGTTTATCAATAATAGCTCAGACACAACAAGTTCAAAATTAAAGTCTGTTATTGTCTTTACTTGGTTGCCTAACTCATAAATAGGACATCACCTATCCAGCTGCATAATTAGAAACAAAAGCTTCATCCTTGACTTTTCTTTATCCCTTCCTTGTCATACCAAACCTATGGCTCTCAAATCCCTTCACTAGTCTCTCCACCAACACACTGTATTTCAAAGGAACCTCACCTCCCACTTCCATATGCCAATCACCTCCTAATTGGTGCCACCTTTCTACTCTGATACCCTCCAATCTGTCTTCCACACTGTTGTTAAACTGTCTTCCAAACACAAATTCTATCATGACATTAAAGATAATATCAAAACTCCCGAACACAGTCCACATATCTTAAGCCTGACTCCTCCTCTCTAAGCTCATCATGTGCCACGTTCCTCCTCACTGCTCCAGTTCCAGACAACTCAGTCTTCCTTCTGCCCCTCACTCTCACCGAGTTCCTTCGTGAAGAATGCTTTGCACATGCTGTTTCCTCTACCCTTTTTGCTTTTATCCCTTATTTCACTTCTACTCATGCTTCAGACCTCACAGCAAATGCCCCTGCAGAAGCCAAAACCCACTTGTACTTCTATTTCCTGTAATATTTGTCCAAAATGCACATTTGCATTTGGTTCACTGACTATTTAATGGACAACCAATTCTCTGACTACTATAATTCCACAAGGACAGGGACTTTAGCTGCTCTGCATCCCTGGAACTCAGCATGATGCCTGCTCTCAGAGGATCCTGGGATAAACAGTGTATAGTACTGGGACAGAGAGTGTATCCTGCAACAAGACTTGTCCGGGTTCCATCTTACCTCTGTCACCTGCTGACTTGAGATCTTTCTTTGATGAGAAGAGGAATACCTGTCCTACATTCCTCAAAGGGTTATTGTGACAGCTAAATGAGCTGATGTGATCAGATTGCTCTAGAAGGGGCCCACCTGGAAAGTAAACTAGGTTCTCAATAAATGTTGGCTGCCATAATGATTGCTCATTGAGTGACTAAAATACAACACAGCCTCTAACCAGAATACCTCTAAGTTTCTTTAGCGGTTCTCTGCTGCTTAGAGCTGAAGCATCTTAATATCATCTTCTCTTGGGGGAGATTTTCACAGACCATACTGGAAAACTGAAACTAAAATTACAAAATACCATCTTGTTCATTCGATACTCTTTACTGTCCCTATAACTACATGAGCACCATGAGTATTAAATTTCCATTTTATAACAATACATTTCATGTTATTATTTTGATGTTTAGGAAGAACTAAAGAAACTTCATGTTAGAATGTGAAAATTTTGTGCTACGAAAACTCTTACGCGGATGAAATCTGACCTCTTTTCAATGTTCAAATGACCACAACAGTGAAGCACAGAACCCAGCCAAGACCTCATTGCCAGGTTCAGGCCTCTTTGCTGTACCATGCTGGGTTGAAATGTTCAGAGGGAAAAATTGTTTTGCATAATACAAACCTTCATATATCTTCTAGCATAAACTGTAGGTAAAGTATTTTAGGCAAAATCATTTTATTTCCAATTTCTATTTTGCTATAATATTTTCATTTTTAAGAAGATACTGGATTTCAGGTCTTTAGAAGCAATCTATACAATTTTAAAATAACCAGGTAAAGAGGCTCATTATTAGAGAAAGCATGATGTTCTTAACTAACAAAATTTAAAATGAACACGCAGCTTCTCCACTTACTGCTTTATCTCCCAGAGCGGTTCTGATGCTAAGTCTCACTTTAAAAGCATTTTCTGCATCTGCCAGAAAGAAAAAAGAGCAGTGTATGATAAAATCTGCCTAAATGGAGCCCAACGAATCCTAATATCTAATGCAAATCAAATCAACGGTACACAGAACTGCTAATAAACTGCTCCCCAAATTCCTGAAAGTTTACCTGTAATCACCTCAGATGGTTGAAAATTTTCTTTCAAACTCATAAAATAGCCCAACTTTCAAGCCACAACATGTCTACAGGTTTTGAAAAATAAAGTGGTCTTTCCATCAAAGACTTATCAAACATTAAAAACTAATCATCTAGTTTTAAGTTTCAGGGCTACCTACCTGGTTGACAGAGTTCACCATGAATGGCAGTCACCAAGAAAAAGAGCAGCCACAACATTCTTTCAGAGAGGAAAACGCAAGACAAACCGAGGGAAAAATAATCCACCCTCCACTTAAAGCTGCCTTAGCCATTCTGTGACCCAGATTAGAATAAGAGAAAAAGCAAGCCACCCACCAGCCAGAGGATTAATGATTAATCCCCATCACTTGGGTTAATACTTGGACAGAAGCAGCCCATCTCCTGTCAGTTATTGACAAAAACCTGTTTGGAAAACAGGTTAGCTGTGTTTTGCAAACTCTAGCTTGAAAGAATGTTTCCCCTGCTGACTCAAAGTCAGAATCCCCCACCCCCGCCCCATTGTAGTCCCATTAAGTGCATGAGGGAAGGAACTGAGTCCTCTCTGGAGGCTTTGCCTGGTATGAACTCCCCACCTTCTCAGGCCTGAAGTCTCTCTGGCTGACAGAGTAGCCATCTTCACGTGGGAAGCTGATATCACTCCTCTATCTCTGGTGAACAAAGACCTGGCCAGAAGGGCCTTCCCTGCCTCACACTCCTGCAGGTGACTCCTGGCCAGCTTCCCATTCAAAGGGAATGGTTTGGGTCAGCCCGAAGGGGTGGCTGCTGTGAGAAATCACAGCTGGTGACAGAGCAGAGCTGTCCGTGGAACACTCTGTGATGGAAATTCTCTACAGCTGACCTCACAGAGTGGCAGCCAGGAGACATGGTGACTGTGGAGCACTTGAAGTGGGGCTGCTGCTGCTGGGAGAGGAATTCTTGATTCAATGAAGCAGCCGTATGTGGCTGGTGAGCACATTGGTCAGTGATGCCACAGAGCAGTCAGCAAGAGCTGCCCACCACACACTAGGTCTGCTGGGTTCTTTCTTTCATCCTCCAAAGAGCACCTTACTGGTGCGGTTGTCATGACTGTCTTACGGTGAGGAAATCAAGGCTCTGGTGTTCAAGGCATCGGTGGCAATGGGAGGAGTGAACAGGTGTCATTGGAACCCTCTCTCCATCACACCAAACCGCACTGCATCTCAGGTCATCGCTGGTAAAAACTGAAATTGCAGCAAAACCTCAGAGATGCTCTGAGTGAGATAAGGAATGGACAAGACTCCTTCCCCGTGGGCACTACAGAGGCCAGCAGAAGCCCCCACAGCGGGTCCATCAATGTCAGGGCTTTCCTCTCTTCTATGCTGCCTCTTCATGCATCTGGCCCCCAAATTTGACCTCGTTGCTTGAAAACCATGAGTGGGAAAATTAGGTTGGGTGGCCCGGATGTTAATAGAAAATTTGGATTTTTAAAGCAACAATGAGAAAATGCAAACAATGACACTTCTGCAACACTTTGAGAGTCATACCGTTTCCCCCTCCTCCTTAGGGGGGAATGTTATCATAGGTGGCCCATCAGTGTTTGCTCCCTCCTCCTGAGGAAGCTTGTTCACCTTTCCTCCACTTTGGTTGCCAGGGCACAGAATTGGGAGAAGTTAGACTAGAGGGAGAGGCAGCCAAAAGTTAACTCAGCCACTTTAGAAATTTCACTGTTACCTAGGTAAAATGGAAATTTCCTAGAAGGAAAGCTCACATAACTAACCCCTGCAAACAAGGTCAGACTAGATCGAGTTATCTTGGCAAATGTTAGACAAGATAAACTCATCATGGGAAGGAAAAGTCAATAGAGATTGTAACAAAGCTGATAACTGGCATCAGGGAACAAAGCCAGGTTAGAGACAGAAATCCTTTGCTTTAGCCTAAAACTTCATAAAAGTATCAAACACCTCTCTTTTGCTTCTACTTCAACTCTTTGTAACTAGAGTTGAAGACAGTAATATGCTGAATTGTAGGCTAAGCCATTCATTTCGAGAGAGAAAAGATTTTCCCTTTTAAGTTATGACTTCTCAATGTTTGTTGTCTCATTTTAAGAACAACAGGAGAAAATCACAACACAAATTCTGTACAGAAAATATAGAAAAGTACAAAACACCCATCATGAACTATCAGAGATGACCAATATTAATATAGTTTAATAGTTGATACACACCTTCCTTAACCTTGGAAATTCTGGCAGGATGCTGCGGTCTCTTTGTCTCATTGGAGCAGCACTATGCAGCAGGATGACGTAATGGGAATAACAGGACCTTGTGGTCTTCCTCGCTTTAACAGGATTAAGGCTCTTCCACAGCATCTGGCGGGTCACATTAAATGAGATGTGTCATAAGGTAAACGTCTCCTTTTAGTTCCGTTTACTATTTTCTTTGATCAAGAATTAATGTTGAATCTTATCAACTGTCTTTTCAGCATCTCATAATATGACTCTAGGGTTTTTACTATTTGGTGCATTATATTAATCAATTCCTTACATGGATCCCTTAGATATACTCATTTGGATGATTTTTAACATGCTTCTAGACTTAATTACTGCTTTTTTCCCTAGGGTTTTTAAACTTATTTTCATAGAAGAATATCATGTAGCTAATTCTTTTTTTTAAATATGTTTTCATTGATTTCAGAGAGAGAGGAAGGGAAAGATAAAAACATCAATGATGAGCCGAAGCCGGTTTGGCTCAGTGGTAGAGCGTCAGCCTGCGGACTAAAAGGTCCCAGGTTCGATTCCGGTCAAGGGCATGTACCTTGGTTGCGGGCACATCCCCGGTAGGGGGTGTGCAAGAGGCAGCTGGTCGATGTTTCTCTCTCATCAACGTTTCTAGCTCTCTATCTCTCTCCCTTTCTCTCTGTTAAAAATCAATAAAATTAAAGAAAAAAAAAACATCTATGATGAGAGAGAATCATTGATTGGCTGTCTCCTGCATGTCCCCATTAGGGATCAAGCCCACAACTCGGCATGTGCCATGACAAGGAATCTAATGGTGACCTCCTGGTTCATGGGTTGATGCTCAACCACTGTGCCACACCGGCTGGGTTCAAGTGCTGATTCTTAAAGTTCATTTTTTCCTGCTTTTATACTGCCATCTTGAAAATGTTATGGAAAGATTTCTAATATTGTCTATGTTTACAAATACTTAAAATGCAGAAAAAATAAAAAATTCAGAGTTGAAGAAAGTGGATCATTCCCATTTTGGAAGAGTTACAGCAAAAGTTTCATTTCTTGTATTGCCATTTATTATAGGTTTCATATTTCTTTCTGAGTCCATTTTAGCTATTGACAATTTCAAAAAATTATTCATTTTATTAAGATTTTCTAGTATTCTCATGGACTATATATATGCCATTAAAAATCTACATTCATTGCTTATATTCCTTTATATTTTCTGGTGTATATTTTTTTCTCATTTTCCCATTTTCTTGCCAGAGATTTATCTAGTTTTATTGTTTAATCAAAGAATAAGATCTTGAATTTAATTTTCAATTCTTTTCTTTCTATTTTGTGATTCGTCAGTCTTACTTACATTCATTAAGTCCTTACCCCTGTTGTCATTATACTGGCTTTCTTGTTCTTTTTATAACTCTTGAGCTGGTTAATAGGCTTATTTCTTTTTAATCATTCTTAATCATTCTGTGGTTATTAATTTTCCTCGGAGTATTCTTCTGACACATGACATAAGAAGTATAGATGCACAGTGATCTCATCCTTTTTATCAAAAAAGTCTATAATTACAGTTTTAATTTTTCTATATACCAGTATTTGCTTTGAAAAGTATTTGACAACTGAGAAAAAAAACACAACAGCCCAAAATTATATGATTAAAAATATCAACTTTTGCCCTGCCTGTGTGGCTAAGTGGTTGAACATCGACCCATGAATCATGAGTTCATTGATTCAATTCCTGGCTGGCACATGCCAGGGTTTCGGGCACAATTCCCAATAAGGGGTGCTCAGGAGGCAGCTGATCACTGTTTCTATCTCTCTATCTGTCTCCTTTCTCTCTCTAAAAATCAATAAAAACATATAATTTTTTTTTAAATATCAACTTTCATGGGTCCAGTCAGGTGAATAGAAAGAGAAACTATAAAGACATTGACTTAAAATATGAACATTCTTAAAAAGGTATGTATCTCTTCAAACATGCTAAAAATGATTTAATAAAGAACTTGATAGCTCAATAAAACAGGGAGAACACAGAACTAGATACTATTGTTCTTGCCTCTTAAAATACTGTCTTTACTTTCTTATACCTTTCAAAATCTTGTATCTACTTAGTCTTTATTTTCATGTACAATTTTAAGTATTAAACCTCCTGAGAATTCATATCAAACTTGCTTTTTATACAATGCTCATTTCAGCAAATCCACATATTGGCGCCTAATGCCTTATTAGTAGCCATGGTAATAATGACAAGTAAAGCAGTTTCAATCATTCTGAATATGTTAGTATTGACTTTCTTTTTTAAAAATTAAATCTTTATTGTTTGAAGTATTACATACCCCCCCCCCATTCACCTCTCCCATCCCACTCCCACTCCCAATCCCGGCCTTACTATTGATTTTCAATATCCCAAGCTTAGAGAGCATAAATAAAAGGTTGAGATTGTTGTTGCCATGAGCAATAGTAAACACAGAGAGTCTCTTGAGACAGGAAAAAGAAATTGATTTTTCCACGGTTTTACATACTCCACAACGGTATTGAAAAGCAGTTTCGCCAAAACCGGTGTGGCTCAGTGGATAGAGCGTCAGCTTGCGGACTGAAAGGTCCTAGGTTCGATTTCGGTCAAGGGCATGTACTTTAGTTGCAGGTACATCCCCAGTAGGGGGTGTGCAGGAGGCAGCTGATTGATGATTCTCTCTCATCGATGTTTCTAACTCTCTATCTCTCTCTCTTCCTCTCTGTAAAAAAATCAATAAAATATTTTTTTTTAAGTTTCTCAGCACATAACTATTGATCTACTGCTCAGGAGGGTAAATTAAATATGAGATCACGTGAAAACATGTGGATTGTTCTTTTCAGTCATGTGAGATGCCTTTTAATGATCACCAGAGCTATAAAAGCATGTGGGGATATATATGCTCCATTTACCTTCAATAAAACAAGAGGTAGGAAGAACCAATGTTGCTTTTAAAACTTAACCCCAATTATTGTTTCATCACCACATACAGGTATT